TCTCCTCCCTCTGTGACTCAGTTTAAACTATTACTATCTAGAGAGACTTTGGGGTTTTCCCCTTTTAATTAAGAAAAGCAGAAATTGTTAATGTCAAAAGCAACTTAATACAAAGATACTAAATTGTGTTTTTGTTTAAACTGGTGCGGGCTTCTGAAAAATTTGTGGTTACTCATTGCAAATTTCTTTTTTCTCTTTGCAGAGAGAGAGAGACATGCGAATGGGTGGTGCCACCACAATGAATATGGGAGGTAAAGTACTGTTAAAATAACAGCTTCACGTGGCTTATTCATAAAGTGTCACAAAATGATTATATTTTTCTTCTTTAGATCCATATGCTTCAGCAGCCCAGAAATTCCCACCTCTTGGAGGTGGTGGTGGCATAGGATATGAAGCTAGTCCTGGAGTTGGGCAACCAGCCATGAGCGGTTCTATGATGGGAAATGACATGGTAATGTATCCTGCGGTGGCTTTACTTTAGTACAAGTGAATGTTGAAGGCAGGGGATTCTGAACTCTGTACCAGTTGTGTACATTTCATTCTCTTACTGGCTGACTACTCTTTTCTGTCAGATATACAGCATGGAGGGCTCGTCTGGCAATATATAGTGATAGTTTAGTTCCTAATAGCATCGTAGTTGAGATTAGTTGGAAGCTGGTTGTGAACAAATTCAAATGTGCTATTAAGCATATTTGCAGCTAACCCTGATACTAGTCGGGTTGGGAATACCTGCATTATAGTTAGGCTTGGAAGGATTTTTCATAAATTCTGATGCCTCAAAATGCTACCTTGATTTTTGAAGAGGTCAGATTTTTTTATTAAGGAAAACTTTTAAAGTTCAATCACTAATGTGTATTTTTTTTAAACTGATGACAAAATTAAAAAAGAGAACTTGGAGATAAAAAAGAGGGTGGGGTTTTTTGAGTAAATTTGGCAGGTTGTATCACCTGTCACCAGTGCTGCTCAGTACTTTCCAGAGTTTTAATTGCACCAATTTTTAGTATGGTCCTTCCAAGCCTAGTTACAGAATCAGTGCATTCTTGCATTGATGCATTGTAAAATCCAATTCTGTACTTGCATCTGTTTATGGAACAGATAGTGAGTAATCAATGGCAAACAGTCTACCATTTTTTTTATCTTGGGGTTTGCCATAGTATGAGAAGAGCAGAAATGCTTTAGACTTCAGGCACGTTTTAAATATTGCAGTACTCACCATAGTCATTTTGTGACTTACAAAGGAATAATGATGGCCTGTTCAAACTTGTTGCTTCCCACTTGTTGGGTATGACTGTAGGTGTAATTTGTTAAACTACTGCATGCCTCATGTTCGGAGGTATGTTTCCAAATCTCTATTTAGCACACTACATGCGTGCAGGGGCTTTGAGCCTGCCTTGGTGTTATCACTGAAGCAGTACCAATAGCTAACAGCAGTACTTAACAGTTGGAATGGAAGTCTATACTGGCCTAGGCGGTGATAGTAGTGTGCTTCCACCTTCCTTATTGAGGGTGCACTCTGGCACAACATGCAGAAAATCATTTTTTGGGGAGGGTGGGTTTAAGGTTAGACTGTACTCAAGCCTCCGGCTTTAACACGTTGGGCTACCACAGTAGCTCGTCAGGTATCTTCTGCTTTATGAAACCATGCTTCTGGAATCTACTTTGCAGAGCATCAGTTCAGTAGATGGTGCTTGGTGGCCATAATGTATCAAGAATTGCTGATAACATTCTTGAGCAGTTTATAAGCTTTCAGTGAACACTTAGGTAGTCTGTGGTGAACGCTGTGTACATTTTTTTGTTTCTCCTTGTCCTGGGATTCATGGAACAGGTGCATGTTGCACTTGAAAATATTTTAAAACAACTGGATACAATCAACCTGTGACAGTTCTAAATGACTGGGCACTCTGCTACCCAGTGCTATTCCAGCTACTACACTAATAACTTCTTAAGCAAAATTGTTGTTAGGCTTTTAGCTGGCATTTAAATTTGTAACTGAGGGCACAAATAATGGAGAAGCTAGGAACTCCTATTTTGGAAACACTCCTTCCTCAGGAGGATTGAGAGAAACTTTTCAAATAACTTTCTACTATAAATGTCAAGTGTGAATCAGTCCATGTTCTGTAGTGGCAGACTTAGTACAACAAACTGAATATGCTATTGCTGTGTTATGGGGTAGTGGGAAACTTACCTGAAATGGAAGTTTAAAGCTTTTAAGTCCATCTTTGACTATGCAGAACTGATGTAACTTTAGAAATCTACTGCTTATGACACCTACTCACTTTCTGGTAGCTGATGAGAAGTACGTGCAACTGTAGATGTACAAGATACTCGTCTCTGCTTTACTGCAGTTAAATTCAGCTCTTGGCAGCTCTGTAGAAGACAGTCCATGAAGCCTTTCAATAATTGTAAAGCCTTTGTGGACTTTCAGAGAGCTTGTGGTGAAGCTGGGGATGGGGTGAGGCTTCTAATGGGTGCACTCTGCCCCTTGTGCATATTGCTAACTTTTGGATCACTGATTAAAACTTAGTTCTGTGTGCACATTTTATATCTGGCGATTTATAGCAGTAGTCCTGAAGTATGTGAGACTTAATAAATGCAAGTCTTGATCTAGGAATTGTGTTGGTTAGTTAAATCATCGGTCATTAGCTTTTCATATTCTTTTTCTTGTAATCCAGTAGCACACTATTACAGCATTGTCTTACTGCTTAAGGCCTCTGCAGTTTTAGTCAGCAGATCGTGGTCTTAACCACATCTTGACAAGCACATGGTCTCTAATGCAGCACATGCCATTAACTGGTGAGTAGGCATCCTGTTTACAATGACATTTTTTGAATGTCAGCTTATACCTCAGTGAACTAAATCTACTTTTGTTGGTGAGGCTTATTTGGAAACAGGTTGTTGATGTAAACTAAACTTGTCCTGAATTAAAGGTGAGAGTATGCAAGCTAGTTGCATTAACTTGTTGAAAATTGCTACATCTCATTTTGGAAAGGATGTTAATTCACATCTGCACTAATGCTTACATTTTTAGCACTGCAGGGAGTATCTGTTCTCTGTAACAGATGTATGAGAATGCATCAAGTGGGAACATACCTCAAGGCATGTATTACAATAAACTAATTTTTAAATTACCCTTTTTTCCTTTCTATGTTCCCGGTACCTGTGGATCGGCTCAATGGTGATTGTATCGACGAACCTTGACTACGGAACCTTCTAAAAATATATACTTAACACACATGGACATCAACTACATATAATGAACTGTTAATACTGTTCCAATAGCGTCCTGAACGCTTTGGGCAGGGAGGCGCGGGGCCTGTGGGTGGCCAGGGTCCTAGAGGAATGGGGCCTGGAACGCCAACAGGATATGGTAGAGGGAGAGAAGAATATGAAGGCCCAAACAAAAAGCCCCGATTTTAGACGTGACCTGTAGAGTTTCATTCCAGTTTGTTTTTGTCTGTCTTGTTTAGACACCTACTTTTTAATTCTTGCATTTTAGTAAGAAAGCTACGTTTTTATGGATGTTAGAAACTTATTGACCTAATATTTGTAAGTGGTCTGTTTGGGCAAGTACAACTTAATTATGTAATGCAGTGTTTCAAAAAAAAAAAAAAAAAATAGCTGTTTTTTTGATGTATAACGTCCCTAACTTGATGGCAGTGTACCTTGTGCCACTGAATTCCCAAAGTGTACCAACTTTTTTTTACTGTGCTTCAAATAAATAGAAAACTAAATGTAGTAACTATTCTTGCCATTCATGGTTCCAAATGATGAGGCCAAATGCCACACCTTCCAACATAAAACAAGAGTCTTGTAGGTCTAACTGGACCAAGGTGTGGAAGAGTAGCTAAAGGTGAGGTCTCCTCCCATACCAGCTGTAGCTATGATATTGGGTCAATATAGTTGTTGACTTAATTGCTTTTCCAGTAGGCACAGATTTTTCTGAGTGTGAACTATGCTGTAGTAAGGAAGCAAACAAACTTTGCATGTTCTGTGTAAGATGTAGTAATGGAAGCCATACTGCAAATGATGCAGTCATGTAATGAATTTTGGATTTTAGCCATGGAGAAAAGGGGGTGGTGTGGGATGGTGGCAGAGACTGACCTCCTTGGCAGTCACTGTTTAAAATCTTTTAAAGACTTTAAACAGAAAAGTAGAAAATGTCATATTAAAATGAATCCATAGAATGGCTTGTCTTGATTGACTTTTCTAATTAAAGGATTTCTAATGTGATGCTTGTGATCAAGCTGGAAATACAGGATTTGATCTGGTTTGGTATTTAATACCTAACTGAAATTTGGCAAAAAAAGAACAAGTGTTACTGGAGTAAAGCAGGGAGAATCTTTTTAATATGTACTCTGCAACTTGCTAATGTCCTTTATGTTAATTATGTGGACTAACTTCTATAGTTCAGAAATCAATGGTGTAAATTCTAAGGGATCTGTAGAAAATAAAGTGCATCTTAGCCTTTGTAGCTGGTGTGTAAGTCCCAAACTAGCATGCTAAATTCAGAGGAAACGAAGCTTCTGTCACTACAGTATTATCAGATGTTTTATTATTGATCTTTGCAAGGCTAAGCTTAACAAGTAATGAATAAACGTGGAGTTTAATTGCTAATGCTACACAGTACAAATAAACTCCCTCTGAGGCTCTTATCTGAATGGTTTGATGAAGTTGTTAGCTTGCTATCAATTTCACAAACCCCGTGTGATTTCAAGGTATTCTGGATTTTTTTGATGTCATACTTAGTAGTTATTTTATTACCATGATTTTGTATCCAACAAGCTGGGAACATCACTTCCCAGTGTGAAATGTCTTGGTGTTAATGTAGGATATATCAACCTGCCTGGCACAAAGTAGGTAAAAACCTAGTTTTGGCTGCATTTCTCTGCACAAATTTTGAGCATTTGTCAACAGCCTTTAAACTTCTGAAGAAGTTCCCACTCTTTGTGCTTAACATCGGCTAATTCTAAATTCTAGGCTAAATTTTATCTTGTATGGATAAAACTTTAGCATGCAGGTTGCATTATCTTTAGAACTGTGCCCAGTTAAACACTGACTGTAGCTGTTTAAATGCCAAATACTAGCAAGCTGTGAAATGTTGATACAAGGTAACATTGACTTTGAATATTAAGTATACTAAATAGGCTCAGTCTGTCTGGTGAATTGTTTCCCAGAAACTTTGTAGAGGGTAAAAAGACATGTTCCCACTGTGAACTGATACAAACCGATACATAGGAAGTGTACTGGACCAACAGCACTTAAATTGGAGGTTGTCTGGGATCCACTGAATAGGATTCCTCAGTTCAAAATCAGAGGTCCAGTTTTTACGTAGGTGGATTTTATTGTAGGGTCCTAATGATGAAAATATTTTCCAAAGGGTGTTCATGGGACACCCAGAGAAGGTGAAGGTGTCTGAGGTGGGGAACTCTGAACATAAACGTTAAATTAATTTTTTTCAGTTTATTTTTCAGATTACATGTCATTCTTTATTAAAGAGATGCTGGTACATATCTTGAAATGCTTTTTTGTAGTACTATAACTTTGAAGAGTGAAGGATGCTGATGTCCTAATATCTTCCAAAGGTGGTCTTTGGGTACCCCACTTTATATAAGCTATTGTTGCTAGGTATTAAATAGACTAGTTGCAAAACTGCTTAGCAAATACACAGAAGGATGTGGCAGTTACTAAACACCTGAAATAGTTTTGTTTAATGTTAAACAGAACAGGGTAAGAGTGCTTGTAGCAGCATGACCAGATTGTTCAAAACAAACTCAGGTCCTGCTTTGAGTTGCATGTGCTAATCAGGATACAATAAATCCTAGCTAATTTGATTTCAAACTTTAAAGTTACTGTCTTTTTAAAAGCTGGCATCTATATCGGAATTTTAAAGTGAACATACCCACTTTTAATACATGTGGGCGGTAAGGAAGTTCACGATCCTCCGGTCTATGTCTACATTTCTGAAGTTTTCCTTAAAATTAGGCTTATTCATATAATTGAGTTCAAAGTTTTTGTTAATTGTTTGGAAGAGCACTTGGTCTGCCAGCCCATTTTTGGATGGCCTAGACTGTGTAGAGAATACCTTGTTGTATATTTGGATTTGGAGAAACAGTTGGCTGTTGCATTTTAGCCTACTTTTAATTAAACTGGGCTTCTTGAAGTACTTTTAGTAACTTCTAAAAGTTTCTGCAGCAACCGAAATGGGTATTCTTTTGACTATTTTTCACACTATCAAATGAATGCAGAACATCTACAGTGCTTTGTAGACCCCTAACACTACCTGATTTTATATATTGATACACGAGAAATTGAAACTGCTTTTGAGTTTGTGGTATTTTTGTGGTAGAAAAATTCTTGGCTTCTCCTTGGCAACCATTTACTGTGGCAGCAAATTTTGCTGGAGTTCTTGAGACTGCAATTTACACTTAAATAGTGGCCTGCTACATAACTGCACTTAGCCAGCATTTCTGCAGTTCATAACTGTGAGGAACGTAGTACCACAAATGGCAATGGACATTAGGACCCGGATGTAGTATTCCTGCTTGCTCCAAGATTCTCATTGCCGACTGCATACAGGTAGGTAACAAGCAATATAATATAACTTGGTGACTTTCTTTGTAACCTTATTCTGTGGGTATTCTGACATCACACTTCTGACTATGGAATTACATTGCAGCACTCTTAATACGTGTACGTTTAGTTGGCATCCAAGCTGCTGCGTGGCTTTCGGTTTGAGGGTTATTTTTCAAAAACAAGCAACTCTTTGTGATTCTTAGATAAGCATCTAAGACCCGATTCCTTTGTACATGCCTTGATTTGTGTGGATTTTTAGTTATGCTGTGACAAAGGTATTTTTAGATGTTCTCCGTGGGGAAGAGGGAGTGGGAACTTAGAATCATTAAACAAGTCAACCTGGTGCTGTTGGCACCTAAAAGAAAGGACTTTTTGCTTTAACTTTCTGTAGCAACAAAATTACCTGTCTGCAGTGCATTCCTTGTAGGGTCTTTGCTATTTAGGAAGTAACACTGGTAATCATTGTGCTATTCTTGAGTGACCTAGGTAATAATAATGTGAAGCTCACTGTATTGAGCTTTAGGACTGGGCAAAAGAACATCTTAGGTCATAAATTGTGCTCAAATGAACATCCTCATAATTTTCCAGGATTTACCAGCAACTCAGTACTTCTTACTCTCTGGGTGGCAGTGGTCATGATACATTCAAGTGACTTAAATTGACAAGATACTAGGAATCCAAAGATTCCTTCCTCTGTTCTCTTGGTAGTTTTACTTTCCACCAATATTGTTTTAGCATATGATTATTTTAGGCTCTTCAGTACTAAAACTAATAAATGCATCATTTTAAAAGGTTACATGCCTGCATGTTTCCAGACTAGCATGTGTGCTGATCTTAGGCCCTGTCTCCTCTGTGTTAGTTCTTGACTTGATGTTTTTATTCCAAGTTCTTTTTCAGCCTCTGATGTGGTTCTTGGCTGAAAAATAAGAGCTTGTTTCGGAGGTTAAGAGTTTGTAAGGAGGTTTTTTTCCTATTTGAGCTACAAAGTTTGGTTTTTGGGTTTTTTGGGGGTGTTTTTTTTTTTATTTTGCATACTTGACTGTGGTGTACACTTCTGTCAGACTCAGACACCGTTACTGTATCTTACAGGAAAGAAACTTTTATTAATAAGCAGCTCATAAGCCAGTTACCCTCTGCGGTAGAGGTATTCATGGACCATTGAAAAAAAGTTTCTGTACCTGGTAACTTGGACTGTAACGGGTCTTTACATTCCAGTAAGTGTAGCTGAACACATGCAAGTCAAGTAGTGGCAACTAAGCTATTTTAGACATTTGACAATACCTTCTAGTCTCTGTGAATAAAACTTAGTAAGGGATGGCAGCTTACTGTCACACAGTGACAGTTGGGTTACTTATTAGGTTTCTCTAAACCAATGGTCAGGTCTACTTCTTACGTTCTGGGCACACTTACTTACCTTCAGGAGTGCTGTGGAGGGGTTTTATGGACACAACTATCTTGTTCTACATACTTGGAAATAATAGGGGTGTTTTACACTCTTGGAGCAAGTGGTTTGTGATAAAACCATGGGTTACATTGGCTCTGCCTGCAGTAATGAAACTTACTGCTGTAGCTGTTTCAAAAGGAAATAGTCACATTTATTCCTAAGCAAACAACTTGTAGCAAGTGGGTATGAGAAATAACACCAAAGTGCTTGCATTGTATTTCATCTTGTTTCCATCTTTCTCTGCAAATTGCACTTTTCCTCAGAAGTTTATCTGAAGCTCAGAAGTGTGGTGTCAGAATACGTATGCGTATCTGTGAGGCCCTCAGATCAAATACTGGTGCTATCAGAGGAGAGCACAGCAAGCATATAGTGTATGGGGGCTTTACTGTAACATTAAGCAGCAAAGTGTTGATTGCTTGCAGTTTCCCCAGCAGCTAAACACTGAGGCCTGTGAGTAGTTTTAGGACTTGAGCAGTAATGGGGTTGCATGTTTCTGTTCATCATTGCCAGCTGCAGTGACATTATCAGGAAGGCCAGTGTTCTTGTTTAATTAGGCTAATCATACTGGAGAGAATACATAAAAAGTATGCTGCTTTGGACTATATACTTGGATGCTTAGCAAGGTTGGAATCAGTTGATAATCCTCTGATTTCTCTCCATACCAGCTTGTGGGATTCTTTAAATAGCTGCTCACGGAAAAGGAAAATGGGAGGATTGGCCTTCTCCCACTTGTGTCATTGCTGCTAGATAATGATTGACAAGTTAGGACTTGATTGTACAATCCCACAGTGGTTTGTGAATACCCCATCATCTATAAATGTTGCTTTTGAACACCAGTACTGAAGAGCTAACTTGGGAGGTGGTGGGGGGTTGGGGAAAGAAGTGTGGCTATTGCTGGATAATCTGGAGTATTGGAAAGATGCACAAAGATATAGTATCCCTTATGCATGGTGTTTGTTGCTACAATGGGAATTCATGTTTACTTATGGAGGGGTTATGCTTAATCAAGAGGTGGGTTTGAGATTAGACTTGAGCTTCTCCCTCTTGGAGCTAGCAACATTTGTGATAGCAGTGTGCTTTGCCTCCAGCCAAAGGTGTGCACAGAACATAGTACAGATACATTTCTAGTGGGTATTGAGAGTAGATCTTCTGGCCCTCAGCATAGTTGTAATTAAAGGAAGGGTATGCAGAGGGGAAACAGCAGTGGTGATTCTCTCTAGTGGGTTTCTTTGGCTTCTTTTTTTAAACTGCTAGGATACTTGGGCTTGGGTATATAGCTAGGATGGGGACATTTCACTCTTGATGTAGAGGAGGGCATTTTTACAACTAAAATATGGCAGTGAGCTTGACAAAATTTGTTACATGCCTTCACATAAGGGATAGTATACCTCTGGCTGCAATTAAACTTCACGGTACTCAGACTGGTGAAACTAGCTGTTACGGTTTGTGTTCAGTTTAGGTGCAGTTCTTCAGTCCACCACCTGTACATTCTTTCACTTTCTTACAAGTGTTTAGACTAGCCTACTTCTGCCCCTTACACTGCTTCCACCTAGCATTTGGGAATAACTTGTAAATTCCCCTCATAACTAATCAGTCCATGTATCTTTTAAATGTTACTCAATGTAAAAATTAGAATTCTATTTTCAGAAAAAAATTGAATGTGCTTTTATAATAACTTCAGTTTATTATCCTCTAGGTGAAGATGTTGCAAGTTGAGTGAAACCAGAGTGCTCATCCATATGAAGTGAGTATATCTGTTAATTGCTTTACAATAAAAGGGATATTTAACCTGCTCTGAATCAGAGTGCTTATTGCCCATGCTTCCAAGTTGCTACATCATAAAAGAAGCTAAGATTATAATACGACGTAGATAGGTGGTAGTTTTGCTACATGCACCCCATTGTGATAGGGGATATGGAGAAGTTATTATTAATACTAAAACATAGTTCAAACTACTAAACTTGTGAAATGCCCTGCTATTGACTGCTTTTTATATTTTTTCCATGCGACTTGCATACCTGTATTGGCCATCACTTCTGGTCAAAACTTCCTTTTATTTGGTTCCAGTGTTTCTTCCCCTTGATTCCTTACTTTCCCTGGATGTTGTTTCTCATACAGGGCACAACTGAATGCCATCATATAACGTTTTTGAAAGTCACCAAATAAGTAACTCACCTTCAGGATTTTCAACATTAGATGCAACAGTTGTTCTAGGCAGTATATGTCTGTGGAATGATTAGAGGTTTAGAACATGTTTCATGGATATGAATTCCAGTGGGACTTGTTTTAATTGTGACTTGGTAACAATATTAGAGCTGTCTTTCTAACAAATGTTCCACTTCTTTATTTTTGGTGTACAAAATAACTATGGGAGAAATCAACTTGTATTTTTTCCTAGTACAGGAGTAGAGCATGAGCACAATCCAGCATGATGCGATCTCAGGTGCTATTGCGTAGCCAAAATACAAAATCAGTTGGTAAGTTATTTACCATACAAAATTAAGCTAAATGATTTTCTGCTTAAAATTTGGATCACATTTTTCTAGTGTGCTTTGAAAAGCAAGCCTTTTCAGTCTTGCTTTATAGAACCACCATTGACATTTGTTTCAAGATATTTGGCTTCTGCAGCATCAGTCACTTAACCTGCAGATGCTCAGTTACGCAGTTATGTTCATTTTAAAGGTCTTTATGTAGTGGGGAGGAAATCCTTGTCTAACAAAGCAAAAGGTTATAGCAGGGAGGTTTTTTGTTTGGCTCAAATGTTAGGCTTAGTGCAGAAACATTTGGTTCTCGGTTCTTACCTTCAAAACACTTTCTGGATCTTAAACTTCAGCAAGGAAAGTGAAGCAGTGCACCCATCTTACACAGAGAAACAAGACAGACCAAGTGGGCCAGCCTGTGCGTAGCAGAAATTTTAAGTTGTGAATTGTCCGGTCTCTTCCCTGCCCCCCTCCCTGCTCCCCATGCATTATATGAAGATTAACCTTTAGGTTAAAATGCTTTAAATGTTGAATTTCCTACAACCACAGGGATAGAGAAAACATGCTAGATACTATCTTTGTTCAGGCACTAATCATTTGTGTGTCTGAATGGTATGTAGGCAGATGTCTGAAGCCTAGTATTGGAAAGTTGAGATGGACTAGATTTCATCAGGAATCAAGCCATCTGCTCTTGTTTCTAGGATATAAAAACATGATTTAAAGCTCTGAAACCGTATATCACTTTGATTTGTGTGACACTGGAAAAAATTGTGAAAACTGTTCGCTTAATCTCAGGTGCATCTTGTGCTATGCTAGAGCATGTGTGGAGCCAGGTGCATGGACCTTTCTGTTGTATTAAGAGTAATTTCTTAAAAAATGACCACTTTATATACTAATGGCCTTCATACATGAAAGTTTGATTTCCATCTGCTTAGAATTTCTGGTGCTAACTTTTTGTGCTTTGTTATCTACAGGAGGAAGCGGTTTGATGTCCAAAAGGCCCAGTGGAGGGGGAGCCAGGAGCCAAGTGGCAATCTTGCTTTCAATAAAATATTTTTTATTTTCCTATAGGTATGGCTTGGTGTGTTCTCTTACGTTAATCCTGAAGCTCATGTGTGTATCCGTGAATTTATCTGAACACAATCATGCATTCAGAATCATTATTTTAAAAAAAAAAAGTTGAGGGAGATGCAGTAGGTAATGTGCTATGAGTTGCTGCATATATAAATACGCAAGCATTACTGTACAGAAAGGACTTCAGACCCTTTTTCTTGCACTTGAGTATGTCTGCTTCACTGCTTTCAGTACAGCTCCACAATGCAGAACTATTTTTCTTGTGGTTTGCGTGAGCCCCTCAGAGCAAGTGCCTTGGCAACTGCTGGTGCTAGCTTGGGAGGATAGAGAAGACTGTTTGTTTCTTCTTGCCCAATTTACCCACAAAACTAGTTCTCTAGTTCTGCATGCTATAAAAAAATAATCTTTGTCAAAAAGATTTTCCCTTCAGAAATTTTTAAATGAGAACAGCTGCTTTTTAGAGCAGCTAGAACTGTTAACCAGGACTCCATTAGAAAATGGCTTCTAGCTCTTTAAATCAATAAAAGGATAATCAGTAATCTTACCGCTTGAGTTTTTTTGTGTAAGTTTAAATCTAGCTGAGAGAGCTAGTGAGTTCCTTGAAGGAAAAGAGTCACTAGATAACAGTTGAATATTCTTCCAAGACCCAGTATTAAATGCATACTCCTCTACTAACCAGTCATCTCTAATTACTGTAATCTGAGTCTGTATGACTTGTTAACAAAATGCAGTTAAGTCATTCAGTTTGCATTTACTTTCCTTTGGCTTACTGTGAATGCTTGGATTGATTTAATTGGGTTCATGTACACATGGAATAACTGAAGGTATTTCTTGAGAAACCACTTTATTCAAAATTTACATTTCAGTCGTCTTAATCTATTTGGGATTGATACTTGCTACAAATAGTGATGCCTATCAGTGGGCAGCAAAACTTTATATAGATTCATGTCCTTCATTTCCATGGTGCTGTGGACATATTATTGCAGCATGGATTTGACCCATCTTGTTCATGCAGTAGCCTGATGATGACCCTGAAAAACTAAGTATAAAACTTGTCTGGCCCACAGGGATGTTTCATGGAGGAGTGCACTTGCCTTTTCAGGCAAATTTTTGAAACTTGGATGCTTCCAAAGGACACAATTTGACAGGCTATAGAACTGGGGTGGGGGGTAGAGCAGTGGTTCTTCACCTTGATATATAGACCAAAGGCACTTCTAGTTATAGATTCAAGGGCACCCTTTAGAAAACGTTAACTCTTAGTTTTTTCACTTTTTTCTAGTAAAAAAAACAGACAAATTCTGTTCCAGCGAATTGACCACAATGGCAAAATTGTTTCCAACTACTGAGTCTTACTTGAAATTTCTGGATTTGTCTTGTGGATGGCACGTAGGTGTTTGTAGCTCAGTGGTGCTATTTGATATTACGTGTTGCTTAGGACTTTGTGGAACCCTGGTTGAGAACCACACTACTGGAATAGACCTACAATCTTTCTTACCCTTAAGTGCCTAAGTTTTGAAGTGAATAATCAAATCTGTCCTCTATCTACTGAGCTTGAATTAACAAAGTTTGGGTTGGTTGTTTTAAAGGCTTAATTTCATAACCTGGCCCTGGCAAAAAAAAAAAAAAAAAAAAAA